CTGGCGGCGCCACATAGACCAGTTAAGGAGGCGTTGGGCTAAGGACAGCGCTGACTCTCCGACGGCTGAATCCTCGGACGATGAGTGGAGACCCCCAGAGCAGGCGGTGAGTACCGAACTGCCCGGTACTGTCCCCGAGTCAGGGCAGACCCCTGTGTGCAGGGCTGAAACCCCAGTAGAGTTTGTGCCTGAACCAGGTTGTATTGAACCCCACACTGACCCACAACCTTGTGTGCCCATAGCGCCTGCACCGCTTCGCAGGTCTCAGCGTACGCGGCAAATGCCGACTTATCTCAAGGACTACGATTGTAATAAAGTAATTTGGAACAGTTGATGTACAACGGCACGATTTGAATGTATGTAAATAATAAAACAAATGGGATGATGACTTAACTTAGGGGGGAGGAATTGTAATGTATTGAAACGATTACATGAATCACCTCATTAGACTCCTATGTTAAGCTTCGAGCCAAGCTAGGGCTCCTCTGACCGAACTTCCTATTGGTCGCTTTGTAACAGCGACCAATCAGAACAGTACTATTCCCTGGGAGGGAAAGACTCCCATTGGTCCTTAACTGAGCAATCTCATTGGTTGTTATTTGTAAATAGGCGTGGCTACATTAGCCCGGTTATGTTTAAAAGGAGCATAGCTCCCACAGTTTGTTGTTCTGGTTTCTAATGCGTTTGAGTGCTTGTTCGTTACTTCCAATAAAGCTGAATCACTTGCTGAATCACTCTACGAGTCCTTTGTTAGCGCGATCTAACAGTCCAGTGGAGCTTGAGTGGTGGATGTTGCCTTCTGACACACTTCCGGTGATGTCAGGGTGTGTGGCATATGCAAATAAGTTATGCTAATGAGTTATGCTAATGAGCTCCTGCACCTCTTTTTCTACGAAATGACCCCTGGCTACATCAATGTGTCCTCTTGCCTTTGTTTGCAATACAGCCAGGCTTGATCTAACACCTGCAGTCTGTAGACCTCACTTGGTGCAAGGAAAGGTGAAACCTGATTTATATTCAGTGTTAAAAGAAAAACAAAACCTAAACTTTAAATCTTTCTTGATCAAAACAAATTCAAATGTTTGCCTCATCTTTCCTCTCTCTTAAAAGTGCCTCCACAAAATTTTCTCCTCTTCCCTTGTAGGGAAGAAGCTTTTTTTCTTTTTCTTTTTAAACCCTTTTTTTCTTCTTTAAAAATGGATATGGTAATACTGGAATACAGGAGGCACACAATTGAGTAAAAACAATGACTGAGATGTAAAGTGCCTTGAACATTTAAACAAATGCTGTATTAATCATTATTATTAATAGCATCTATGCCTTTGATGATTAAAAAAAAAGCAAATTCAAGGATAGGCCTATCAACTGCTATCAGCCATGAAAGCTAAATAGAACCTTCATGTTCAGAGGCAGTTTACGTCTGAATACTGGTTACTGGTGGTGGGGGAAAACATTTGCATAGAGCTGTTATCTTTGTGCTCTGTTTGTGGGCCTCTTAGATGCATCTGGACCCAATAAGACTGATCCAATGAGTCTCTTTACATAATATTATACTGATGTAATCTTTAAAGAAACCTGCAAGGCAAATCGGTATTATTACCTCAGATTGCAAGGGTAGATTTCCCAAGGCTATTAGTGAGCTGATGAGAGATTCAAAATGATTGATCAGTCTGTTGGTCACTATGGTGACTTTTGCTTTTAAAATTGGGACTTGTTCCCATTGGTATGCTAGCTGACAAGAACTGGGTTTAATCAAATAAGCCTGCTACCATCGCTTGGATGGGGGGTTAGTTAACCCTGCATCTCAAGCCCCATTATTTTATTATATTTTACAGAACTATTGTTTTATTCTTCAAGATTTTTTACCAAAAAACCCACAACCCAATGAAAACCTATCAATTGTAACTGACAATAGCAATTATAACCACTTATCAACACTTCTCCATTCTTCAAATATCTGTAATATATGTAAAGGGGGGGAAGTAGTGACCCACACATGAAGAGTGCTTGCTACACTGAGGGAACCAAACATGGAAAACATGTGTGATGAATACGTTTTTCAGAGTGAAGGGAGAAGATGCCTGGAATATGGTGGAGTTGCTTCTGTTCTGTTGTCAGTATTTCTACTTTCTTTCTTTCTTTAGCTCGGTCCTGTGGATTTGCTATCCCGGCACCAGTTCTAAGTTCCGCTACTACCATGCTGATCAGGTTTCGTTCAGATGAATCAGAGACTTTTGGTGGATTCAGAGCTACATTTTCATACATTCCCATTGCAGGTAAAGACAATACAAAAGTAAGTCCCCCTACCCCTCCCATACATGTATTTCCTACCAATGGTATTTATAGTTTGTATACCAGGTTGGATCCAGACTAAAATTTCGGTTGACAGATGGATAGGTGTGATTTCTGCCAATTCTTCTTTCCTGCTGCAGACCTCAGATTTGCCTCTCTTGCTGTTCCTGAGGTCCCCTGTCCCCAGGGGCAGCATTTCAGGCACATCAACGGGCTGCAGCAGGAGGAGTTTTCTGTTAGCGGAAAAATTAGTCTATATCTGTGGCTGTTTTTTCTATAGCCTTTATAGTCCACTGAATAAAACCAGCTGGAGAGCTGGGTTAAAGTTCCATCTCTACTGCGATTCATAGCATATCTTGGACAAGTTTCTCTCTCTCTCTCGGCTTCTCCATCTAACCAATGCTGTTTTAAAATAAGATAATGATTTGTAGGAATAGGATAGTTCAGAGTAGCATCAAAGTAAGAAAACACATTGAACTGAGTATAGCAGCATGATCAGGGGTCATTTCCTGCAGGAGCGCACAGGAGCGGAGCTCCGGCAGTAAAGAGCCCAGGGGGCGGGCACATGCAACAAGCCCCGCCCCCTGCTCCCAGCAGCCCTCAATCAGAGCAAGAAGCAGCCAGGTAAGTTGCAGTGGGTGTTGCCTTCTGACACACTTCCGGTGATGTCAGGGGGTGTGGCATATGCAAATAAGTTATCCTAATGAGTTATGCTAATAAGCCCCCACACCTCTTTTTCTAAAAAATGACCCCTGAGCATGATAGATCATGACAAACCCAAAACGAATTTAGGCTTCAAGCTCATCTCTAAAATATTTGTAGCAACAATTTCTGAGGCTCTTTCTAAGCTCTTTTTCTTTTCTTTTTGCTGCCAAAAGATGTGATGATGGCTGTTGGTTCAGATGGAGTTAATGATTAGACAGATTTATGAAGGTCTGTCACTGACTATTAGCTGTGATGTCTTAATGGAATTTCTGTGTTCTTCGCCTTACCAGTTGTTGTGGACAAACAGGAAGGAAGGGTGCCTCACTTCACATCCAGCTTATGGGCTTCCTGGCTGGACTTGTGGTATGATGCTGGACCTTTGGTATGATCCAGTGGACAGTTCTTAAGTTTTTACCTCCATAGTATGGTAATATATAGACAAAAGACAAAATTTTATTAAGCAGAGGTAGCCAAATTAAGGAACCTTTAGATAACCTTTGGATATAAACCATACAAATGACTCATGTTATATTCTTTAAGATAAATGCAGCAGGAAGTTCCCTTGAGACATACTGATAATGAATCTGTAACTTTTGGTTTTTCCTAGATTTAAATATATCAGATACAAGCAGTGCAGTGATAGTTCCTGATCCTGAACAAATAAATGACCCTGCAAATGCAGCTGACATTCCTGGTAAGTCATCTTGTGTCAAGGAATTCTTTTGAAGAAGTGGGAATGGGGGGGGGATATAGAGAAAGTCTAGGCTTCGATTTGTGGAGTCTAAACTTTGCAGAATTTGATTTGTATTCTCGGAGAGTGTCAGAACGAATTATGCAGAGTAACACTACTGGATATTATGCTTTCCTAATGAGGCTGATGAGGCCAAGTAAAAAAAAAAATTCTGCAGATCACACCTCAAAAGCCTGTGCCTTTTATAACAAGCTTCCTCTCTTTAATTTATGCCTGAAGCATGGTATTAGCCATTGTAGGTATATTTAACTTCACAGGGGTTTGTTGAAAAACCAGCCTGAGTCGATTGTGCCACTGGATCCATTGTGGTGGTATAAGGCTAAGCAGAAATGTCAATTCTGTAACAATTTACTTGGAAGTAAACCCCACTGAAGATAGTGGACACTCTTCAGAGGAGATATACTTAGAATCAAGCTGCTTGCTTAAATATAAACTACTTCCAAATAGTAAGCAGAATGAACAAAATGTAGACACCATTATGACGTCCCTGGAGTTTCCCCCCCTAATTTGCAGTAATTTCCCCTCTCCATTCTGTGTACTCAGATGACCTTTGTGGAGTAGCATCAAATCAGCCAAGGTTTCTTTTCAGTCGGATAACTGGAGGCGAGGAAGCTGTACCCTACTCCTGGCCTTGGCAGGCTAGTATGCAGATTTCAGGTGAAAATATCTGTGGAGGAACAGTTCTCACTAATATGTGGGTGGTCTCTGCTGCTCACTGCTTTACATACAGGTAAATATAATATGTAGAATGTTATTGGTATTTACATAGTGTTCATTCAATAACAGGAGAAGAAATGCATTCTTCAGTAAGTTTTTGCTGATTTTAAGTGAGCCAAAGTCTGCTTCTTTGTGTTATCTGTAAAGTAACTGTCCCTGGTTCTTCTGACTGCAGAGCAGGGTTTTGCTTCTTGGTCTCCATTGGTGAATAAGACTGTACAGAGGTCATTTCGGGGGGAACGCGGGGGAATGCAGTTCCCCCCGGGTGAGGTGCGGGGGGCGGGGCACATGATGAAGCCCCGCCCCCTGCTTCCGGCCGCCCCGCTTCCAGCCCTCATTCAGCCAGGAGGAGGCAGGAGAAGAGGGAGGGTAAGTTGCTTCCTCCCCGCCTCTCCCCACCCCTGCCTGCCTGGGGCCAGGGAGGGCCTTGGCGGGGCTTCCTCGCACTCCCGCTAGCCTTGCAGGTCCACCGCCGGGCCCCTGATGTCAGGGGGTGTGGCATATGCTAATGAGTTATGCTAATGAGTTCCCCTAGCTCTTTTTCTACGAAATGACCCCTGAGAATAAGGTACATCTCTATACCCACAAAAGGGAGTCTGAGCTATCTAGTCAGCAGGTCAATCTTATAATGCTACTACATCAGTGGCTGAGATAAAAGTAACTGAAGCCCTATGCACTGTCAGCAATGGACAGCAAAAAGACAAAAACAAAATTATTTTAAACACAAGATAATGCAGCAGCACAGACATTCTGCATCCATAGCAACTTCACCCTTTCCCTGCTTACTCACAGATTGTACATATGTTCACTGTAACTGTATATTGCTGCATGTTGCTCACATTTCCATGCACTGAGATGACCGAAACTTGGCCAGAGACAGATTAATTGGTGAGAGATATCAGCCTTTTTGCAGGCTGGCTCATAATTATATACAGGCCTGTTTTTTATTTGGTGCCTTCCCCTATTGTGAGTCATTACAAACCTGCCTGGCCCTTAAATGATATTTTGTGCTTTACGTGTGTGCAACATGGTTTTAGGCCACTGAAGAAGGCCCTCAGGGCCAAAATGCTTCTGGTCTAGTGGGTTTTTTTAATGTGATATTCACTTGTGCGATTTATGATCAGTAGATGTGCAAGTCCAGCAGGCTGCTGTATAGGATACGTTTAGTTTGTATGTATTGTGTTTTAATTACTTATTGATACACTGTGTAATAAATACTTTGTTGTATTTTTTGTTTGCTACACTCAGCCTTTTTAGGACCTAACTTGTTTTTCGGGTTGGGTTTGTTTCCCTTTGCTTTTCCTACTGTGTATTGCTACATGACTGTTTTAGAATATTCATACTATAGTTTCTTGTTATAACCAAAACAAACGCCCAAGAAAGAAATGAGGGGTTTTTTTAATGAAGAAGGTAGGTAGAAAGGTAGAAAGAAAGTCCTACCCTGCCTAGTCACAGCTAATTTTCCAACCATTGAATAAAGATAAAAGCCAGGGCTATTTTGGGGGCAGGAACGCACAGGAACAGAGTTCCGGCTGGCTCCCAAGTTGGCCACACCCAGCAGGAACTCATTAGCATAATAGGCCACACCCAACAGCAGAAACTCATTAGGATTGGCTACATTAGGGGTGTGTGGCCTAACATGCAAAGGAGTTCCTGCTACAAAAAAGCCCTGGGTTTTGACAACAAACAAGGTAAACAGAATAACAAGCAAAAGGTGGGTGTGGCTGGATAACCACACTTCTGGTAACATGGGGGTGTGGCCTAATATGCTAATGAGTTCCTGCTGTTGGGTGTGGCCTATTATGCTAATGAGTTCCTGCTGGGCTTTTTCTACAAAAAAAGCCCTGATAAAAGCCAATCCTCAGAGAACTTGAATCAGCTCAGTTCCTCCTCTAGCCAACCGTTGAACTGTAGCACCTATGGGACAACCTACTGATGACTGTTGGTTCATACTAATAAAACTAGGCCATTGAAGACGATGGCCCCAAGATATAGCTAGTTATTTTGATTGTTTTATTTAAATTGTATCTGTTTCCTATTTGAAGCTGCTTTGGGTCCTGTTTGGGAAAAATTCCGGGGAATAAATATTTAAGTATGTTCAGAAATGTGAGAGAGACCATTACTGCGTGGCAGTAAATGATATTCTTCTGCTTGAGCGTAGATGCTGGGTACTCTGTATAAGCTGTCTGGTAAATTCTGAGATATTTTTCCTTCTCACTATATGCTCTGCAAAGGACACAATACAGAGATCTATGGAGAGTGGTGGTTGGAGTCCATGATATCAAAGCTCAAGAGCCAAACAGTCAGGTTAGTACAAACTGTTCCTCATAACTGAAAGAAGCTTAAAATTTTCCGGGCCACCACCCCTTGGCTGCATAAATTCATCCCTAGAGCCCCCCAGCCTACCCTACAAAAAGTATTGTTCAGAATAGCAGTTTGCCCAGCCATCTAAGGAAGGTAATAACAATAAAATTCAGAACAGTAGCAAAGCTTTTCAAAGTCTGATAGTCACTTAGCAAGAATCTTAAGATACCACATCTAGTAACTATTTCACTGTTTAGTAAATTCTTAATGCAATGGATGGGTGTAATGATTTCATGTTTAACTGTGTGTGTGCGTCTTTAAAAGTTTCGTTGTAGGACTGTGTGATTGGCTAGTGTGGTTGAAACAGGCAGGTGGTGTGATTGGTGAGTGAGAGGGGGAGGGGTTTTGGAAGTGATGCTGTGTGGATGATATTTATGTCTGTCAAGAGTGTCAGAGTTGGGACAGTTGAAAAAGACAGTTGTTAAGTCAGTTAAGTTCTGTCTCTGAGAGAAGGAGACACATTCCTGTGTGGGATAAGTTGGTCCTGTGTATGAAAAGACTGAAGCAGTCTTGTATAATATAAGAGTTCTGAGTTAAATATTTGTGTGTGAAAGGAGAGACATTCAGTTCTGTGTTATAGGAGTTATAAGCTGAAAGCTGAGAGTCTAGGAAACAGTAAAGATTATATGGACTTGAAGGAAAAGTGTTACAAAGTTACCTATGAAAAATCCCTGTCAGTAGGGAGCAGACTGTGTGTTATACCTACTTTACTAGTTACATGGTTCTACCCTCGTATTTATGCTTATTTAAATAAATCCTATTTCATTCAAGTATGCCAGCTCTGAAAGAAATTTCTCATGAAACACATAGACCCTCATGAAAGCCTAAAACCTCGGTCTACCTAACCAGTAATAACAAGAGCAAAAGCATAAAGGTTTGGAAATCCTTTTAAAATTTCCTGGTGGCAGCCAGATATATACAGTAAAATAAAACATAAAGAACCCTCTTAAAGTAAAACCAGACCTCCCCAGTTAAGGGGTCGTCACAACGGGCTTGAGGAAGTGATACCCCTGAATTGCAATTGAACTCCAGAAGACACAGATCTCTCCCCCTGGAGAAAATGGCTGCTTTGGAGTGTGGACTCTATGGAATAATATCTGGTGGAGGCCTCTCCCCTCCCCCAAACCCTGCCCTCCTCAGACTCCACCACAAAATCTCCAGGAATTTCCTCAGCTGGAGCTGGCAACCTTAGTCTCCCTCCATGCCATTTTCCTGACTTGCTGTGGTCTCAGGGGTGCTTTATTTGAGACGTTTGTGTAAGAGACTGTTGCTTAAACATTCCAGTTATAATTGAGGTTGGTGACCCATTCTACCACAGGCTACTGTTTATCATGAAAGGACAAGATCTTTTTTAGAACAATTATCCAGCTAGGCTGTCTGCTGCTGCAACAGTTCAGTGTAGTGGTTAGGAATGCGGATTCTAATCTGGGAGAGCCTGGTTTGATTCCCTACTCCTCCACATGCAGCTGCTGGTGTGACTTTGGGTCAGTCACAAGTTATATCTGAGCTGTTCTCTCAAGAACAATTCTTGGCAGAGCTCTCTCAGCCCCACCTACCTCACTGGGTATCTGTCATGGGGAGGGGGAGGGAAGGAGATTGTAAACTGCTCTCAGACTCCTTCAGGTGGGGTATAAATCCAACTCTGAAGATCTGCAAAGACCTTAAAGATGAACACAATTTGTGGCAGGATATGAGCTTTCATGAGTTACTGCTCACTTATTCAGATAACATTGAGAAGTAACTCATGAAAGGTCATACCCTACCATAAATTCTGTTAGTCTTTAAGGTACTATTGGACTTTTGCTCTTTTCTGCTGCTACAGACAGACTAACATGATTACCCATCTTGATCTACCTGCAAAAACCTTGAATTTGTTTAAGAAGAAGAAGAGATTGGATTTATACCCCGCCCTTTACTTGGAGTCTCAGAGCGGCTTACAAACTCCTTCCCCTTCCCCTCCCCACAACAGACGCCCTGTGAGGTGGGTGAGGCTGAGAGAACTCAGCCACAAACTGCTCTTTTTCAAGGACAGCTGTGCCAGAGCTTGTGCCTGACCCAAGGTCACACCAGCAGGTGCAAGTGGAGGAGTGGGGAATCAAACCCGTTTCTCCCTGATTAGAGTCCGCGCACTTAACCACTACACCAAACTGCTTTCCATCTTCTCCTTTACTGTACTGTCATGCTTCTCTGTTTCTAGAAAAGATCAGTGAAGAAGTATATCATACATCCAGATTTTAACAGCACTACAATGGACTCAGACATTGCTCTGGTACAGCTGACTGAACCTTTAGAACTCAATCATGTTCGTCCTGTGTGCCTGCCTGAGAAAGATGAAAAAGTTGAACCTTCAAGGGTTTGTATCATCACAGGCTGGGGCATTCATAATGAAGGTATGTTTACTTTCTCTCCGATTGCCCTTAAAAGCCAACAAGAATATGTTAGCACCTCTCCGAAGCCCGGCCGGTTCTGGGGGGTCGAGGCGGGTCCAGGATGGGGGAAGAGAAGGCTTCAGCGTGGACGTTGCCTCAGAATGCCGACTGCCTAAGTTACTTTACTCTTGCGGCCATGGCATCCTAACCTCTATTCTGGGCACGTATGAGTGGATTGGGCCACCAGGACCCGCCGCTCCCTCCTTGCATCCCATTACATAGAGATTAGGTGTATCCTCACCGGCAAACGTCTCCACTTCCTTTATCCTCCCTCCACCACCTGGCCCGCCCCACCTCCCAGGCTTTAAAGCAAATGCGCCATGGGGCTGAGGCCAGCCCCTGAGGTACCCCAGACGCATTTCCCCCACCCCTCTTCTTCATGGTCAGGCCATCATCGGGGGGGGTAGGTGGGCTCCCCCTCCCCCGTGCCCTCCTTTGGCGGTAGGGCTGCCTCTGGCTGGGTGATGCGGGAGGATCCCAGGTCCCTCTGAAAATCCTCGTAAGGGCTCTCCTGTGTTTTGATGGCAGAAGGTGAGCACTCCAGAATGGACCTCTCTGAGGGGCCAGGGGGATCCTCGCCTGCACCTTTCTTCTCAGAACCAGACCCGCAGCTCAGGTTCTGCACTCCCTTCCCACAGTCTTCCGGGCCATTGAAAGGCAGGAGGGTGTCGGGAGGAGGCCCCTCCTCACAGAATAATTCTTATTTTTCTTCAAAGAGAGTGGTAGAAAGGAAGGATGTAGAGCGCAAAGGTTAGCTGATGCATATTAAGGAGCATTCTTGGAAATAATGTTTTCTACCTGTGAAAAGCATACTGTTGGTGGTGGTGGTGGTTTTTAAAAAGAACTGTAATTCCACCTCCCCCTCAAGACAAAGAAAAATCAAGAAAACTCCAGCAACTTGAAGTTCCTATTTTGGATTCTGAAGAATGCCATAAATACTACATGAACCATTCTGGAGGAGTGACCAAACAGATGTTCTGTGCCGGATTCCCTGCTGAAAGGGACAAGGATGCATGTACAGTAAGTTGTCTCCGAGTATATGCGTTATGAACAGCCAGGAGCTCACTCGATCTAAAACTCTTAAATGGATACTGCGGTTATGTTAGTGGAATCGTTCTTAGTGGAGTTAAAAGTGAGCTCCTCTGAGGGTGTTTTGGGGTTTTTTGGGTCGTTTTTAGTCAAAACCTCTTAGGCATTTTTTAAGGGAGAATGATTTGGTTATGAAGGCCTGATTCATTTGAGTTTGAGGGACTATTGCCTATCTAGCATGTTCTGTCATATACTTATCCTGCCCATCTCCCAAGGAGATCTGGACACTATACATATGGTTACCCCCCACTTTTTTTTTCCTTACAGAGGTTTAGCCCTTCCCATTGTCATGTTTTCCAACCTGAAACAGTCCCACAGAGCTATTTGCCCCACTGCAGAAATGTATGTGTAGTCATGAGTACATGTAAATAAGGCAGGGCTTTTTTTGTAGAAAAAGCCCAGCAGCAACTCATTAGCATAATAGGCCACACCCAACAGCAGACACTCATTAGCATATCAGGCCACACCCTTGACAGCACAGCACATTAGCATATTAGGCCGCACCCCCATGTTACCAGAAGTGTGGTCATCCAGCCACACACCCCTTTTGCTTCTTATTCTCTTTACCTTGTTGTCAAAACCCAGAGCTTTTTTTGTAGCAGGAACTCCTTTGCATGTTAGGCCACACACCCCTAATGTAGCCAATCCTAATGAGTTTCTGCTGTTGGGTGTGGCCTATTATGCTAATGAGTTCCTGCTGGGTGTGGCCAACTCAGGAGCCAGCCGGAACTGCGTTTCTGCCCAAAAATAGCCCTGTAAATAGGGATGGGCTTGAATTTTGGCCAAAGTCTGTGAACTGAAGAGCTTCCATGAACTTCCACAACTTTTAAGGCAGTTCATAGTGGTTTGTGAAGAGCAGAAAGCAGGGGTTTAAATGGCTCTGAGCCCCACATAGAAGCTTTAAGAAATGAATGCTTGAGATTTTGCAATATATTTTGTGAAACCTCAGTGGCCATTTGGGGGATGCCTCATTTACTGTCAGTTGCTTCAGTTACTGTCGGTCATAGGGGTAGTAACACTGAAAAAGGTAAAACACTGAAAAAGATAAAAGACGGAAGGAAACAGGGAAAGGGAAGAGGCTGAAGGAGCTGCTGGGAGGAAGAAATAGTATGGGGAGGGGGATACAGAGAGAAATGAGATCTCCCCGATAACTTCTCATGGTTTCCTTTGTAATGTATAAGACACAAGATTGTCACCCATGCTTTTGAAAATAGGGTTGCCAAGTCCATCTTCCACCCCCAGCGGGGGACTTTGGGGGCGTTCCTGGAGGGGCGGGGCATCCCCGACGTGATGACGTCACATTGGGGACGTCTGCCGCCCCCCCCCGGGCCACTAGTTTGTCCTTCAGAAGATTCAAGTTACTACACTCTTCATGGAATAATAAGCTGGGGATCTGGCTGTGGAAGAAAAGATTACCCAGGAGTGTATACAAACGTAGCTTCTTTTGTCGATTGGATCAATCAGCACATTTCTGGAACCAGTAAGCCTCCACGTTCCTTTTAACAACAGCAGTTACTCAATGTAGTATGGATGCCTGTGATCTTAAGGGACACCATTCTCAGGAATAGAAACCACAGCATTCCCAATTGGGCCTGACATAGAAATGTCACACCCTTTGCCTTTTATGGCCTTTTGGACCCACTGTTTACATTTCTTCTCTGTAACTCTGTTTATCTTAACTGAAAATAATACTTAGAGTTGCCAAGTCCCTACCTCTTTCCAGTAGGGGGAGAAGCTCCTGGTCCAGGATGTTCACACGCATGTGTAGCACATGCGCACCGCAATGACATTACCCGGAAGTGACATCATCACGCTAGGCATGTTGCTGGGGGACGTTCTAGCATTCGGTCTGAAAACTCTATGATAGCATAGAGTTTTCAGGCTGAATGCTAGAGCATCCCCCTGGCGACGTGCCCGGTGCGATGATGTCACCTTCGGGATGACAGCCCGATTCAGGCACTTCGGGAGCTGGGTTTCCCCGATGGTCGGATCCAGGCTGGCGGGTCGGGGGGCTCTAGAGCAGGCAACCCTCCCCCCCTGGGGATCTGGCAGCCCTAATAATACTTCATGCACCTAATGTGCATTGTTGATAAAAACTTAGGTCAAAATAAATTTGTGCCAGAACATGTTTTGTTTTTCTTGTAATAAACTGATATTTTCGTATCTTTGGAATCAGATGTCACGATCAAACGGGCCTTCATACCTGAAACTTTAACCTGTAATTTTGGAATTCATATTGTGTTTTCCTTTAATTTGTATTTGTGCAAGAATTCTGTTCTCTTGAAATCTACAGAATTGCTGCATGTGATTTACAACCAGAGGGCCAATTTGATTTTATGGGATGGATCCTACGTAACATGAATGGAGGGATATTAACCTTCCTACCTCTCTTCCCACTACTACCTGCTGTTTCCCCCAGAGGAACAGTAGACTCTCCCCGTGAATCACAGGGGGCAAATTTGGGTCCTAGAGTGGGATGGAGAAATCAGTGAAAATCACCCCTGCTTTTCCACTGGTGGAAATGTCTTCCATCAGTGGACTACTAGTAAGGATTTTTGCACTCCTTTCCATGTGTCACTCTGGATACTTGATTGACTTGTTCAAATATAAAAGGTAAAGGTTCCGACTCTAGGGCTGCGGTGCTCATCTCCATTTCAAAGCCGAAGAGCCAGCGCTGTCCGAAGACATTTCCATGGTCATGTGGCCGACATGACTAAACACCAAGGCGCACGGAACGCTGTTACATTCAAATATAGTGAAGGCTTAAACAGGGAACATTTTCAGGTCTCCTGTATTTGATTAGAAGTTCTCAAAGAGAGCCAGTTTGGTGTAGTGGTTATGTGTGCGGACTCTAATCTGGGAGAACCGGGTTTGATTCCCCACTCCTCCACTTGCACCTGCTGATGTGACCTTGGGTCAGTCACAAGCTCTGGCACAGCTGTCCTTGAAACAGAGCAGTTTGTGTCAGAGTTCTCTCAGCCCTGCCTACCTCACAGGGTGTCTGTTGTGGGGAGGGGAAGGGAAAGGAGTTTGTAAGCCGCTCTGAGACACCAAGTGAAGGGCGGGGTATAAATCCAATCTCCTCCTCCTCCTCCTCAAACCATGAGAATCTTCTGGTTCACAGAAGGCTAAAAAAATGCATCTTGGAACCAGATTGAGCTAGCACCATTTTATGTGTTCAGATCTGTCTGGTATTCTACACAGGACACAGACAAGAGGCCTTAACAACAGGGTCTAAAACACACACACCCCTGCGTTTCTCTTTTTGGCATCTAGTTTAATGAAGAGTTCTAAGGAATATAAATCAGGGGTCCCCAACCTCTTTGAACCTGCAGGCACCTTTGGAATTTTGACACAGTGTGGTGGGTGCAAGCTCGCTCTGCCAACCTCCAGGTGGCACCTGGAGATCCCCCGCTGTTTAGGGTTCCCAAGTCCCCCCGGGGGGCGGGGAAAACCCCGCCCCAGAGGCCCGTTTCCTGCCGCCAGCGGATCGGGCCCCAGGGGGAACCCCACCCCGACGTGCGCATCACCCGGAAGTGACGCGACCACGCCGGGCACGCTGGGGGCGGGGCCACGGTCATCTGAGGGAAAACTCTATGGTTTTCCCTCAAATGGTCGTGGCCCCGCCCCCAGCGTGCCCGGCGTCGTCATGTCACTTCAGCTACACCCTACCGCTGTTACAATTGATCTCCAGGTGACCAAGCTCAGTTCCCCTGGAGAAAATGGCTAGTTTGATGGATGGACTGTATGGCATTATACCCTGCTGTGGTCACTTCCCTGCCCAAACCTCATCTTCCCCAGGATCCCCCCCCCCCAATCTCCAGGTATTTCCCAAGCCAGAGGTGGCAACCCTAGTGCAATCACAACATGGCTGCCACCACAAAACAGCTGCTGCAGGAGGCAGGGCCAGCCATAAAATGGCTGCTACAGCTGACCTTCAGTCACGCAGTGAGAATTCTTGGGCTGTGGTGGCAGCCTCTGTCAAAGCAATGTTTTTAAAAAATCTGCTCAGCAAACCCAACCTTTGATGGTCAGTCAGAAGCCTTGCTGGGCAAAAGCCCACCTGTCCCTGCCCCCATTCTAAAAACACTTGGAGGACGCTAGGAGAGGTGTCAGTTGGTGCCATAGTGCCCACGAGCATCATGTTGGGGACCCCCGATATAAATGCTATGCTTGCACATTGTTTTGTGTTATTTTAGGTAACCCTCATGGAAGACCTTACTAGGGTTGCCATTCGCCTGGTGGGGGCAGGGGGTTTCCTGATTTTGCAGGCTCCTCCCACTGCCAGACAGATGGCCAGCAGGAGGCAATCCCCCCCCCCAGCAGCGACCTTGATGTGCTTGTGTCGCCCGGAAGCAGGGCTATTTTTGGGCAGGAACACACAGGAACACACAGGAATGGAGTTCCAGCTGGCTCCCAAGTTGGCCATGCCCAGCAGGAACTCATTAGCATAATAGGCCACACCCAACAGCAGAAACTCATTAGGATTGGCTACATTAGGGCTGTGTGGCCTAACATGCAAAGGAGTTCCTGCTACAAAAAAAGCCCTGGGTTTTGACAACAAACAAGGTAAACAGAATAACAAGCAAAAGGTGGGTGTGGCTGGATAACCACACTTCTGGTAACATGGGGGTGCGGCCTAATGTGCCAATGAGCTGTGCTGTCAGGGGTGTGGCCTAATATGCTAATGAGTTTCTGACAAAAAAAGCCCTGGGTTTTGACAACAAACAAGGTAAACAGAATAACAAGCAAAAGGTGGGTGTGGCTGGATAACCACACTTCTGGTAACATGGGGGTGCGGCCTAATGTGCTAATGAGCTGTGCTGTCAGGGGTGTGGCCCAATATGCTAATGAGTTCCTGTTGTTGGGTGTGGCCTATTATGCTAATGAGTTCCTGCTGGGCTTTTTCTACAAAAAGAGCCCTGCCCGGAAGTGATGTCAGTATGTCCGCTACATCAGGTTCTGTGTGTGTGACACTCTGGA